TAATTAAATAAAAATTAACAGGAGGAGGTGTTTAAAACCTTCGTTCTCCGTGACACTAGGCTGAATATCTTTGCAGATGAACAATGCAATAACATCCGTTATTGGCGTAGAGCGCACAAAACTGTTGCGCATGGAAAAAAACTTGCAATGCTTTTCTCACCACTTTTGGAGCTGGTAGCTACAGTTGAAGCAGTGCAGGAAGCCGGGGATGCAGGAACACTGGAAGATGCTTTCACAGCAACACCGTGGCGCCGCTTCAAGTGAGATTTCAGATTACTCGTACTGCCTGCGTATTTTACAAAAGATGCGCGGCACATTTTGCAAATTGCATCTGTCCTGTCAAGTCGTCCATCCTTAAATCCATGATGTTGCCATACTTTAGATTTAAAACTCAGTGGGGAATCAAATGTTTGTTTTGCTTCTCCACTTTCTGAGGGCGCACCACTAGCTTCATCCGCACACCTGATATACTGAGTTGTAGTGTAAGTGTACACATCCGCAATTCCGTTGCTAAGGCTTACTTTATGTAGGTTGATTAAATTATGCGCCAAAAACAGGTTGACAACACTTGTTAATAAATAAAAAATACATTCTATATTAAAAATATAAGCTGTATCTTGGAAAAACCGATGCATCTCGCAAAAAACGATGCATCTCGATTTGCTTCCAAAATTTCATTCATCCTCTGCTGCTCTACCGATGCACTCGCATCGTGCATGCGCATGACCGCGTATCGATACATATCGGTTAATCTTCCCATCCTTAATAAGAATCAATTCTTGGAAACTTGAGAAAACTTGAGATTTATGCATTATCTGTATCGATCATATCTACAGTATGCTGATGAGCTAAACAAGTAATTTTTCCACTGATGTATGTTATGTTTTGATTGAAAAATAGTTGGCCAAGGGTTGACTATTTGAAAATCTGGATTCTGAGAGTTAAATTTTTTTTTTAATAAACATGAGAGAATCATCTTTAAAATTAATTAAAGGACACATTACTAATTGTAACTAATTGTAACAGGTATATATATATATATATATATATATATATATATATATATATATATATATATATATATATATATATATATATATATATATATATACTAATTTCATTCAAAATTCCTTGTTAATCATCATTTATTTTTATTTAATTTCATATTTTCAAAGTTGTTCTTTAAATGTTTATATTTCAGAGTTAATAAAATCCTAATTTTGTTTGTTTTTAATATATTGGTGTATTTTGGAAAATGGTACGTGGTCCCTTTAAATGTCGTTTTCCGGTTCCGCCTGCTGTCGCTCAGTTCCCGGCAAACGCGATTGAGAAGAGGTGAGTTGTACTGAAGCTCCGTTTAAAACACATAATATACGTGTTGTTTATCACAAAAACACCTGCAAGTTCGTTCTAAATTGCATTTCACTGTTATTGTAAACATGTATGAGAGGTTGTGTAAAGTATATAAAGCATGTATTTTGGGTAAAGTTCATAAACATGAGTGTGCAAGCTTTGTGGTGAAGATTGTCCCTTTCAATATAGGTTGGTCATATTTTACAGTAGGAACTAGGATTTGTGTTTAATTGAATTAATAATTATTGTAATTTAATAAAACTGAATATTATATGGCATTTTAAAAAAAAAATCATTTTTCTTATCAAATTCCTTATCTTAAATATTAAACCTCTGAAATTAAGCCTTATGTACTGTTGTAAATGTTTTCATTGACGCTGGGGTGATTTTGAATCTTAATTTGGCCATAACCACACAAAAACACAGAGATTTTTACCTATTTCTTGAAAACTTGAAACTGTATTTTAAACTGGATATCTGCAGTTTATGAATTCAGAACAAAAAAAATCTGAAGTTCGAAAATGCATTATAAATATGCCTTAAAAATCTGTTGTCTTAAATTTCAGATGACAGTCTTCAGTTTGATTAAATTTCAGTTGTACAATTGTTAGCACAATTCAAATTCAGATTTTTTTGTTCATTATTTAAGCTCCATAAAGAACATGATTTTTACTTTGTAATTTAATGATGTTTGGCATAATCAATCATTTTTACCCATTTGATGGATTTTTGGCTATAGCTCAACCGGTAACTGTCTTTTAGTTTTAACTAAAAGTGGCACTGGCATTTTTATTTGAACCATAAACAGGGCCGGAGCAAGCTGAACTGCCGCTCTAGGCAGAGGACGATCACGCCGCCCTCAACCCCAATGTGAAAACGAAAGTGACCGGTTATGAAAATAAAGTGAGGTGTCGCGGACCTCTATTCAGCCGGCCTTTGCGCGGATATAACTGAGGACGCGCGGGTGCTGAGGGAGGGAGGAAGGTGTCGCCGACGCTGCCCTCTCTATACTGCCGCCCTATGCGCGGAAATAACTGAGGACGCGCGGGTGTCGCAGACCTCTAATCTACCGCCCTACGCGTGGATTTAACTGAGGACACGCGGGTGCTAATGGAGGTGTCACTGACGCTGCCCTGCCCTCTCTATTCTGTCACCTATGCGCGAATGTATCTGAGGACACGGGTGGTGAGGAAGGTGTTGCGGATGCCGCCCTCTCTATACTGCCGCCCTAGGCGGCCGCCTAGGTCACCTCTATGGACGCGCTGGCCTTGACGATAAAGCAATCTAATGTATGAAGGGCTATATGTGACCTGACATGACTGCAGGGCTAAATTGCAGAGCTTGTTCAAACATGCACATCACTATGATAAGATGATTTCAATGCTGTCATCTTTTGTTGTGTTTACTGTTATTATAAGGAAAGTGTGCAGTACATTTTTGCATATTCATTTAATGACACTCAGTTTGGTAACAGTAAAATGCTGCCTGCAAACATAGTGAAAATCAATAACTTGACTTTGCATTAAATGAATCATGAGTTAAAACTGGTCTCCTAACATTGCAAAACAAAACTCGATAACAACTTCACCATCTACTCAAATTGGTTGGATAAACTTTACCACGGATTTACTCTGGAATTAATGTGTTCTAAAGGTTTAAGCGAGATATTTATATGTGGGAGTGCTAAGATAATTGCTATTTGTGATGTCTACTTGATAAAAAAAATGTTAAACCCGTTAAACACAATGACACAAAAATATATTTATTTATTTGCCAAAGAGTAGGCATATTCGCAAAATAGACACGAGCTCTGTCTTGTGACCATAATACAAAAACCTTCTGCAATCAAAGGTGAAAGACTTGAACTAGACAGGACTATAAACCCACTTGTCCCAGTTTAACATCTTCATTATTTTCATTTGTGTCTTGTGGACCACAGATAATGCAGGTGAAAATGCAGATAGTGAAATCCCAGCCTGAGCTGCAGTGCGTTGAAAAGAACCAAAGGACAAAAATGAAGAGTTGAAAGAAGTTCGGTAGACCTTGTATTGCATGAATCATCCTAGTTGTTTGCTCCAAGTTGTCTTTCCAGCAGCAAATTAAAAATAACATGGCTAGGCAAACAGTATGTTAGGATGATGTGTTCCTCTGGCATTCCAAATAAATTGATGCATGTTGAAAAAGGTACGTTCCCTTACAGCAAGCACTCTCAGTTGCTGTGTCTCCTTCTGGCAGCAACAACTGCAGCCACAATTTAAGACATACTTTTTAGGTGTAAAAAATGATACTCATCATTTGAAGAGCACAAACATTAGCAAATTGCTTGCGTAATTCAATAGATTCTCCTTCCATAAAATGGGGCATCCACTGCGTAAAAACGTGCTGGATAAGTTGGCAGTTCATTCCGCTGTGGCGACCCTGGATTGATAAAGGCACTAAGCTGGAAAGAAAATGAATGAATGAATGAATGATATTATTTGAAGAAAAATGTTCAGAATTCAATCCAAATGTAAATTATTTTCTTCAAGATACTACACTGCAAAAAATGGTTTTCTAACTTTTTTGTTTGGTTTTTTGTTTTCAAATATCTAAAAATTCCTAAAAAATGAAGCATTTTCTAGACAAGCAAAACTATTGTCTTGTTTTCAGAAATAATACATCAAAATATTTTTTTTCCTTAAAATAAGCTAAATATTCTGCAAATTGGGTAAGCAAAATAGATTTTTGTTTTGACATAAGATTATTTTGCTTACGCCATTTGACAGTCTATTTAGCTTGTTTTAAAGGGGAAAAAGCTTATTCATTTTAAGACTTTTAATAATTACAGTTTTTAAAAGACTACACTGAAAAAAGTGATTTTGGAGAGCGGTAAATATAATCTGTGGAAACCATATAAAATTTACTTGATTATTGCAGCCAGCCAAGGAATTCAAAAGTAATGGGTAAATTCTACATATGCTACCCATTCGTCAACAGTAACAACCATCACATAGAAAAATTCAGTAAAGTATACCCCCAAACCGTGAGTTTATTGCTTGAAATTGCGCATGCGTCAGCCCGCGTTTTTGAGTGAGTGTGGACGACGCTGGATCTTCTCACCGGCTGCCATGATCGAACAAACAGCAGAAATTAAGGTAAGCAATTTTTACATGCTGTATATTGCGCAAATGCAATTGTATTTTTTGAAGTTTTGAGATATTACACTTCACTTGTATTAGGCGTTCGTTTGTTTAAAATGCCATTTCTTAAAATTAAAGTTTGAAACTGTCGCTGGCGTCACCGTGGCCCGGGACACACTAAGCCGACAGCAGGTGGAGCAACGTCGGCCACTCGGTCAGGCGAGTAGGTATTTTGTGTTCACGCGTCGGTTAGATGTGCCAAGTGCCATCGGTTTGGTGTGTCCGGGGCTTTAGCTGTCTGCACAACTGCCGGTAAGCGGGGTTAGGTTGGTTTTGTTTTCGATACTCCTGACACATTCAGACGGTCCCTTACCGAGCATGCGGCGCCACGCAGCGCGAGCTCTCCCGACAACTGTTAAACGCAGATTGCGAGGGCTTGATTGGAGCAGTGCTCGTAATGTCGAGCGAAAAAAAAAAAAAGACAGCTGTGAATTATAACCAGCTTTGTATTTTTGTAGGAAACACAGTTTAGATATTTTAGGGTAAGAGGTTTTTGAGTTATTGCCGTCCATCACTGAACCTGTCAGGAATATCGAAAACAAAACCAACTTAACCCCTCTCTGCCGGTATGTGGTCGTTGTGTGCTTTTTACAAGATTAGTCAGCATGCAAGACTGTGTCTGACCGCTGGTTTTAAGGTTAGAAACTAGTCAACTCAAGGATTAAAAAGGAAAACATAGTGTATCCCACGAGTATGTGGGAAAACACCCACTGCTGCACCTATGTTTTTAACGAATTGTGGGATCACGCAAAACATCTTAGAACTGATTTTTTATTATATTTTGTATTTTAGAACGTCAGTGCTTAATAAATGTTTTCATAATCTGGTCATATGTTTTATGAGGCATATTACATCTATGATGCTCATTAAATGAAGCATAGATATTAATATATGTAATTTTAATGCCTTTATTTTTGTAAATTAAGTACACAGTCTGTTATTTCTTCATAACTGACCCTTGTCAAACAGCCTTGATCAGAGAAGCAGAGATAAACTACCGTATTTCCCCAATTAATCGGCATTCTGAAAATAGTTATTTTAAATGCCTGGGGTTATAATTAATTTTTGCGTATTAAACACCCACCCGAATAACCCTCAGTGGTGATTATATACATTAAATTGGGGTAAACACAAAATCAACTGTACAAAATTTAAGTGAGGTACATGTCTGAATTTCTTTTGTGTAATTTTCATTTTTATTTCTGTTGCAGGCAGAGTCTGTATATGTGGACACTTACTATTTGCCCTCTCTACAGTTTCTCTTGTCTGTCCCCCACAAGCAGAGACCCACTGATAGACCGCTGTTACCAGTTCTAGGGCTGACACATCCGCACACGTCCACATCACAAGTGTATCCTGAAAAGGTATGCAAGTTTTCCAAATAAAATAAATCACATTGTCCTTAAAGGTCTTTAACGAAAGTCTTCAGTTATGGAAAAATGAAATGGAAATGCAATTTATAAAATAAATTAAAAAATGAATAAAACCTTCACTAGCCAAAGAATTGAAGTGGTCAGTCTCAGCCCCTCTTTTGGTGGTTTTAAAAAAAGGTATTATTCACTGAGGCTCAGGTGAAAATATTTAAAATATATTTTAAATAATAATATTTTTTCTTCCAACTAAGATACTTTCATGTGATATATATGAGATCTGGTTTGTGATTTAAAATAACATTTTTGGTCCTTTTACTTCCTAGATCAAGGAGGAGCATCACAACAGTTTCGTTGAAGTAGACATTCTTGTGGAAGCTTGATGAGTACACACCAGGTTTTGCAGCTAATGCATGCCAAAGGAGGAGCAGCTAGTTGCAAGATGCATCCTCTGCTGGACAGTTTAAATGTATGTTATTTTATTTTTTTACAAATATATAATTATTGATGTGAGGGAATTAAAAGTGAAATAATTTGTAAAAAATTGCTTTAAGTTGAGCTCCATACCAACTTAAACTACCTTTTAACATCAATTTGTAAATTGATTTTCTTTACTGCTTTATCCATTTGGGTCATGAGTAGCTTGAGACAACCAAGCATTTATCAGGCAAAGGGGCAGGGTTCACTCTGTACAGGTCGCCAGTCTATTCCTGGGCCAGAATTTGGTCTTAATATATGTAAATCACTCCCACACTAAATTGTGTCTCCCTACAGACACAGAACATTGAGGAAAAAAAGAGATGCTGTTGTCTGCTGCCTCAATAACTACCTCGGGGAAAGACAAGAAGATATGTTCCATGACTGGCAGGTATGTCATATTGATAACAGATTCTTGATCAACTCAAGTGATCCTCCTCTTATATCCCCCTTCTCCTTTTGTCTTCTACTCTCCTCTGCTCTCCTTTAGATAAACTGAAATATATTGAAACAGAATCTTAAAATAAAATTGTGTTTGCTTTTTGTTTGTTTGTTTTTAATGTAGGAATGTGAGGAGTACACAGACAAAACGATGAAGGAGATTGTGAAGCACAATTTGTCTATTGTGATCGGGGGAAAACAAGTGATGGAAGGATGAGGAAGCCAAACAGAGGCATGCATACTGCTGGGACTCATATGCAATTAACATTGAATATCCAAAGGAGCTGAAGAACACGTTTGAAGCTTTTCAAAAACTTTGTTTTAGAAAATGATGGGGCAAAACCACTGAAGAAGGTCCACAGCCTCAAAAATAAGCTCATGCAGTAGACATTTCTCCTCTTACTTAAAGAGGATCTTTTGTTTGGACATGCCTTGATGGAGTTGTAATGGAGTGTTTTATATATTTTTTTCTCTTCCATCATTTGCTTCACACACAGACAAAGACCCATCCACTGTCTCAGCCCTCTCCATTGCTCTGTGTTTTCCCCCATATTGACAGAAAAGGAATACTAATAGAAAGTGGCCTAAAGAATTTTGATCTCACCTACCGTCTTTTCTTCCCCAGTTGTTTGTTTATTTTATTCTCATCCTATCTGCGAGAGTGAGAGTAAGGACAAAAAATAAAGAATTTTGTTTTACTTTTTTCCGGATATTTGATACTGTACATGCACAAAAACAACCACAAGTCTGTGTGTGTGCTTTTGGCTTTTAAAATAGAATAAGTGGCCTTTGAAGTTTTTTTATGCAAGTAGCCAATTACCAGAAAAAAACTTTTGAAAATGAGTATAGTGAGTTATAAAACAGGTTTATTTGTTCATTGTTGTGTGAAGCTGTTGTACTTTATTTAGTACTCTTTTCTGTGTTTTAATAATTTGGTGTCCTAAAACGTGTATATGTTTTATTATTCAACATTATTGACACATTTGATAGATAAGTGAGTTATAAAACAGGTATATACTTGAAATGTTGTGTAAAGCTGTTGTGCTGCACTATATTTTGAGTGTGTTTTAGGATTTTTTTGAATAAAACATTAAGTTGATAACCCATTTGAATGTCTTTATTGTAGAGGTACATTTTACCTTTTCTGAATAAGTAATTGTTATTAAGTAACTGATATTAATAAACTTTGATTATATAGATAATTTTTACCCAATAAGTAGCTGTTGTATATATACATAAATGTGAGGTATATTTTACCCAATTTATGTAAGTATTTAATAACTTTTTACTTCAGATAGTTTTTACTCAATATATGGGATTAAATCTACCCAGCCAAAGTCGATGCAAATTGTTACCTCAGATTTATTGGGTAAATTCTATAGATTAGTTTTTACAGTGTAGAAACAGGACAGATTTTTTATTTTTATTTTTTTGCAGCGTACTGCACCACAGAGAACGTTATTAATAAAAAGCCAAGAGGACATGTACTATTTTTTTATGAATTTAAGACTTTTAATAAATGAGTGGACACTGGCATATATACATTATTCTAACATCTTTTGTTGTTTTCCTTGCTTGTTAAATAAATAAATAAAATGTTTGTCAATACATATAAGAAACCGATTCTGAATAAATGTCAGTGGATTCATTGAGTGGATATGTTACAATTAAATTGTAAGCATCTTTATAATGTGTTCCTTAAAAATTATGCTTATTGTGTTCCTCCTACTTTTGGAAAAGTATGCAAATGACATTTGTAAACATTGTAAGTTGCTGTTATATGTAAATAAATAAACCTTAAATAATATCTTTCTCCCTTAATAGGGTTTTTGAGTGTATTTGTGAACACTTGACATGGGTTTGATTAGTTATTCAGTCAGACGGGACAGATTACAATGTAACATTACAATGTCAAATCAAATAAATACATGCAATAATCACTACCATTTATTAGCATTTTCTAGTATTTGTTAAACATTTTTTTGACAGTCCGAATGCTATAGACTCAGGGCTTGATGATTAATTCATTTTTTTTTTCAGCTTAGTCCCTTTATTTATTCAGGGTCGCCACAGTGGAATGAACCGCCAACTTATCCAGCACATGTTTTACACAGCGGATGCCCTTCCAGCAGCAACCCATCTCTGGAAAAGGGATTGATGATATCTCTTTAAATTTTTTTTTTTTCAAGCAATCTGTGTATTTGTGCATCAAAATAGTTTCTTACCCTTATGGTTGAGTCAATAGTTGAGCTGTCATAATTTGTGGCATCTCTGAAACAATAATCAGTCATTTCAGTAATCTGAACACTTTCAGGTTATTTTTTGTTCATTGTTTTCTTTTATTGTGCATTTAGTTTTCTCCATTTATTTTAGGATTACCTTTTGACAAAATGTTCACATTTGCTTCCTTTTAAATGGCTGTGAAGATACTTAGCAAAAGCTGTATCTGCGACATTGTTTCTTGTGCCCTGTTAAGTAAAATAACAAATGAACACGTTTTTTGAAATGCCATTCAGCCTGTAGCTTAAATATAAGTGAAAAAATAAAAACAGTAATCTCCTTTATTTTTGTATTTTTTGCAAAAGCGCCCGGGGTGTCATCATCAAATGATGTTATATTAGGGAACACAAAAAATGACCAATTTAATCCTTTTGAAGTTATTTTTGTGGTGAGGGTAAGTCACATAAATGCAAAAAGAGTTCTTTGTACTTACTTGTCTGTTCGTTTATAGTATGTTCAGATGTTTCACTGCATTTATAAACCCCACAGCATGTTGTTTACACATTTATGGTTCCAACCTACCATTCAAATATGCACAAAGATAGCACACTCTATGAGGCTAATGGCTTTGCCTTTTAATGTTGATTTTCTTTCATGACTCAACACAAGTTTTTCATTGAATCAAATGTTCACACACTAATGCACACGCACAATGACAAACATCTCAAACAGGCACCCTGATAGAAGACATTTGTAGAATGTGCCTTTATTTCTCTTAGGTCATGAATGACTCCTGCTCAGACCACTAAAAATCCCGGATGAGTGTTTCTGTACAGGGGGATTATCTAATAAGGGATGCATTTAGAACCACGCTAAGGGATCCCCAGAAGCAATTCGCTGGCAATTTAAAAAGCGGCATAGATTGGCTCTTGTGAGCTGGGACTGATTGGGTCCTATTTGTTTCTGTCAGGCTGAACTTCTCCTTATAACCCAATCATGAGAAAGCAGAACCATGAGTTTGACTCCCTGAGATCAACACGACTGATCGGACATTAGTCTCTGGGGCTTTTGTTTTTCCCAAAACCACTGGTTTTAATGCGTAAAAATTGTAACCATAGTGCCAGGAGAACTCAAATAAATTGTCAACATGTAGATCACTTTAGTAATATCAAATTAAGATATCGTTTCTAGCTGGGAGACCCTTGTATCAGTCTTACTTTAATAAAATAATGAATTAAAAGTAAGATTGTAAATATTTCCTGCCAAACTAGAGACTCGAGAAGTCCCAGTCTCCAAGTTTGAGATAGATAGATAGATAGATAGATAGATAGATAGATAGATAGATAGATAGATAGATATAATAGTACAATGATAGATAAAAAGGTAGAAAGAATGATGAAATAATTGGATGGATGGATTTTTTTTTTTTTTGCCAAACCTTAAGACTTAAAAAAACCCATCTTCTAAGTTTAAGATAGATAGATAGATAGATAGATAGATAGATAGATAGATAGACAGACAGACAGACAGACAGACAGACAGACACAGACAGACAGATAAAATAGTACAATGATAGATCAAAAGGTAGAAAAAATGATGGAATAATATGATGGATGGATGGATGGATGGATGGATGGATGGGTGAATTTTTTATTTTTTTTTGCCAAACCTTAAGACTTAAAAAGACCCATCCAAGTTTAAGACAGACAGACAGAACAATTAATTTAATATAAATATAATGATATAGAGAGCAATGGAATGATAGAACAATGGTATATAGATGGATGAATGTTTTTTTTTTTTTTTTTTGCCCAACTTGGAGACTTAAAAAAAAACACCCATAGTGATAGATTGATAGTTTATCACACTGTTAGCAGGTTTTAGCAATGGTATGATTGATTTAACACACAGTGATGGTATATTTCTCTTGTTTTAGAACATTACTAGCAAGATTCAACAAAATATATTGGAGGGATCAGGGTTTCTTGTTTTGGTAAGATCACAATGCCAACTGAACTATGGTTGAGCACCAGTATTGAATCCTGGCTGCTGGTTCTTTGCTGGTTCTTTTACTTTCTGCTAGCATGTTTAAACCAGCCTGATCTCACGAGAAAACGTAAGTATTTTACGTTTTGCCAGTTTAGTGGCTAATTCGTACGAATTCGTACGAGTTCAGTCGTACAAAATGGTACGATTTTAAAAAGGAGGCGTGGCACCTGACCCCACCCCTAACCCCAACGGTCATTGGGGGATAAGCAATTCGTACTAAATTGTACGAATTAGATTGTACGAATTCATACGAATTAGCCACTAAATGAAAAAGTTACGAATTGCCGTGAGATTGTGTTGGTTTAAACATGTTGATTTTTCTAGCATAAAATAATACACTTCTAATATATTTAATTGCAAAGGTCAACACAATTGACCAGTCTCCTATGCATTTGTGTTCCCATAATTACCCCTAAGTCATACAATTCTACTAGTTGAGAACAGCACGGTGCAAATTACTCCCTCACTTTCCTTTGGCTTACTCCCTGCTTTACCAGAAGTCACCCTTGAGACTTAATGAACCATTTATATCATGGCATGTTTTTCTCTGAAAATGTCCAACATAAACTTTCATGAAGACTGCTACCATGTTGCACACTGTCCATGAAATATCTCATCTCATCTCATATTGATATACAATAAATCCAAGTAGCCATAGAATGCCTTCCTCTGTGGGCCCCAGTTTATTCGTTTGTGAAGTATCTGCATTCAGGGAACTGGATGCAAATTGTCTAATTCCTCCGACTCTTCATTACAGCAAAGCTCATCAAACAGTGGAGTTTGAAGCAGGTGTAGGCCCTTCCCTAAGGGAGCGCTTCCACTTGTTGTGATCAAGAGGGATAATGTAGGACTACATAATCCTTCAGGAGTGAAACACTTTAGCTTTCTGTACAGAAACTAGAGAGGATGTAGTTTAAAGAGAAAACTGTGCAGGTTGGGAATAGTTGTACATTTGGACCTGAAGGGAGGCTGAATATGTATACTGTAGCACGATTTTAATGTTCAAAGTGGGAAGGTTGTCAGAGTCACTTATTTTCTCAAGTCCAGCCGACCACATGCAGCTTTTACCCCAGCAGTGTCCTTTTTTTTTGTCTTTTTTTTCCACTTGTTTATGTCCGCCAGCAGAGTGCCCTAGATTCCCAAAAGGGCTGTTTTTGGAAGCAATACATTTCTTCTGAGTATCTGAAATCAGTGACCTCTGTAATTAAATCTCTCTAACCTTATGTACTTATAAAGATAATGCATACTTTTTCCTCTGTCCTTGGGCTCTTGAGACTGTCTGGTTTATTCTCTGTTAAGATGTTTGTATTTGATTTTGAATTGGTTATGTTAATGCTTTGTGTGTTCAAAGGAGTTATTATTATTGTTTTTTTTTTTTACTCCTAAAGGCTTACTTTTTCTTTTAGCAGACATCATGCCTGCTATATATACATATGCTTGTGTTTAAGATAGACGTCCCATACATTCATGAGTGTTGAAGATAATTCAGTGATTCTTTTTGAAAGTTGGATAATAACGCAGGACTCAAGTGGCCATATCTGTGTGTGTGTGTGCGCATGTGTGCGAATGAGTTATTTGAATCATTCAGAAATATTATTACATTTATGATCAAAAGAGCCTTCTGTTACAAATTATATGTGAGTAAATTGTACCACGGATATATATTATATACATTCATTCATTTTCTTTTCGGCTTAGTCCCTTTATTAATCATGGGTCGCCACAGCAGAATGAACCGCCAACTTATCCAGCAGATGTTTTACGCAGCGGATGCCCTTCCAGCTGCAACCCAATACTGGGAAACCCAATACACTCATACACTACAGACAA